ATCGTTATACAATAACTTGCCTAATTACCCTAAGCTGCGTAGTTGACCTAATTAAACTAGTTAAGCCTTTAAATGTCACTTTAAGCTGTATAGAGGTGGCTTGAAAATAAAATATTACTGTCATGGCAAAGATAAAATAAATCGGTTATTAGAAATTAGTTATTAAAACTATTATATTTAGAAATGTGTTGGAAAAAAAAATCTTCCTTCCGTAAATAAATAAATAAACAGGGGGGCTAATTATTCCTTCAACTGTTTATATATATGTATATGAATGTCTCAATGGGAAATTTCAGGTACAATAAAGAATATATATATAAAATAAAGAATAAATAATATGTATATATATATATATATATAATTTATTCTTTATTTTACCTGGAAATTCCAATTGAGTCATCTCTTCTACCAGGGGGTGCTAGACAAAATGGCATCACAAAAAGTTTCAGATGCAAAATTAGACACATATCACATATTAAAATTTACACAAAACATTTGCTTGATTCTTCCAGGTAAGACTTCAAAATATGTAGGGCCAAAGGAGGTAAATTTTGTTTTACCGAACTCCATACATACTCTATAAACAGTTAAATGTAATTTCTAAGAATTATTGTATTGTATTATTGGATCAATTTTATTCAAATTAATAGAAGACTTTGAAGGTTATTTTTTCTGTTTGTGTTAGTTTGTGCTTTCTATGTTTTTTTTTTTTATTAATATTTTATAGATTTCATTATTATTTGTGCTTTGTTCTGTAAATTTAGATGAAAGTGGTTAATCCTATGTTTCCTTATTATGTTTGTGTTGAACTGCAATTAAAAAAGATTCAAACAGGATTATTGGATAAGTAGCACCCCCTGCTGTTTTCTAATGTGACTCACATTTATAATCACTTAGGCTTTGAGCTTCAGTTTCGCCTGGGCCCAACTCTGCAGGGCAAAAGTGTGCATGTTCACACCAATTATCCAGCCTTGTACAAGAAGTTTGTGGCCTCCAGCTTCCGTCAGCTGGAGTGGGAAAACCCCAGCGGCAGAGAGGATGACTCAGACAAATACTGCAAACTGGACCTGGAGATAGCAGGCTCTTATCAGTATTACTTTGGGTGTGGGTGAGTGTATTTTATGGTTTGTGGCTATGGAATTTGAGCACTTTCTGCTTATTGTATAAACATTAAGTTACTAGCAGTATTAAAAGTCCTATTGTGTTTACAGAAATGAGCAAAAAACTGGAGGTGGATACATCATTGTGGATCCAGTTTTGCGTGTTGGTCATGAAAGGAAGATTCTCCCGCTGGATTGCATTACAGTGCAGACTTACCTGGCTAAGTGTCTGGGCCCTTTGGATGAATGGCTAGACAGACTCAAAGTGGCGCGGGAAACTGGTATGAGCCACTTTTCGGTGTCTATTGAAATTCAGGTTAACGCAATGCAGTTTAGTCAGACCAAAAGCATCCTTGGATAAAAAAAACAAGTGTTGCGTTGACCCATGATCTGTTGCGTGAATTATGGGAGTAACTTACACTGTAAAATACAATGAACTCACAGTTATTTCATATAATAGGCAATTTATTAGGTTCAAACCATTACTTTTAGCAGACCAAGAATAATTCCAAAACCCAGGATTCATACGGGTGCTGAAATCCTTGAAAATGCTTGAATTTTAATCTAGTTTTCTAATTGGAAAAGTGCTTAGATTTTGGATGAAGTGCTTGAAAATCTAATTGTTTTGCTTTTGTAATAATTTATCTCAGTGGTTCTCAAATTTTTTTCACCAAGTACCACCTCAGAAAAAAAAAAATTGTCTCTCCAAGTACCACCATAATGAGCAGTATTGAAATACAGTAGCATATTAGGCCCAGTAAACCAGCTACAGCTCTGCACCGTTCAAAAACGAGGCAGATTAATTCCTATTATTAAGAATATTTATTATTGTCGGCCACTTTAAACATTATACATAGTCTGAACATTAACACTGTACTGTGCTTATATGCAAAAAAAAAAAACATTAAAATTTAAAATTAATTGTTAAAAATGGTAGGCTACTGTAATAAAAAAAAAAACTGTACTTAAATATAAAGTATTAACATATCGTAGCCAATCAAGACCTAGAAATGTTGCCTGGACCTCATAAATACTGTATAGGCTATATGTCATGTTCATAAATCATTTTTGATAAGTTTTTAAACATATGTAGCATGTACATGTGACATACTGTATTTGATTCCTCCGTGTACCACTAGAAGGAAGCCTGCTTACCACTATTGGTACACATACCACAGTTTGAGAACCACTGATTTATCTCATTAAATAGGCAATAATGAACTAACTAGATCCAATAAATCCCTTTGCTTTTACCCTTTGAAATGAAAATAAATATGCATTTAAAGGTGCAGTAGGTGATTGTCTTCAGAAACATTTGTTCTATGTTGGTTGAAAGTCACTTCACATTCCAATAGTAATGGTTAAAGTAAGTGATCTAAATGTATTTATATGTATTTTAAGATTCTGGATAAGGCATAAAACAAAAAAAAGTTCATCCAGTTAAAAAAATGTCCGCCGGATAATTTCCATAATTCTGATTAGTAGCCTAAACTGTCTATCAGCAAATGTAAATTTGTAGAACTGTTCACGCAGTTCTGCCGTTAGAGTGTGCACGTGCACGCACGCCGTGCATTCATGTACACAGGAGACTGTCACAGCAATAAAAACAAATGCTACAAATCAACTTTTTAAAATGTTAAAAATGTTAAAAATATTGAAGTTATTTTTGCACGCTGGAGGAAGGACGACACAATGGCTGAAGTGTTTCTTTTAGACAGGTAATGTTCTGTTTTAAAACTATTTTAGTCACGCAAAGCTTATGTAGGTTGTGTTGTTTTACAAATGGGTTATACGCACAGAAGTGTTGTTCAGCCACTGAAATAAGTGTAATTCCTGCACCCTGCCAGCCAATCACTAAGCATATAGTAGTCACTTTAGACCAGCGTGTGAGAGAGTGAGACCAGCGATTCTTGCAAGCATGAAATATTGCACATTATGACAAGTTTTGTTTGCTGCACAACTGAAATCATGCGAGATATAATACAGTTTTTCATTCGTAATTGTAGTATTATATAGTACTGCAAAGTTTTCAATCTGGGGAATGACATGATCTAGTGGGTTGTCTGCTGACATCTTTAATGTGTACACGTTCGTGTTCAGGAGGCATGGTTTTGGATGGCAGGGGAGGGACAGTGTTTCAAGCATATTATTCTAACCGGTTAGCATTGTGGCAGATCACCTGCTGCACCTTTAAGATGAATCATGATATATTTAAGATGCATTTTGCTTATTTATACCTTAAAATAATTTTAAGAATCTGATTTTGCTCTGATTTTAGACTACATTGTGTCTAAAATATATCCTAAATGTATTATATATCAAGCAAAGAGATTTATATTATGTAATTAGCTTAGTATTGCCTATTACATGAACTAATTACACAAAGTGAATTTCTTTGCTTTTGCATAAAATGAAAACACAATCTGCATGTTTAACTCCTTTGGAGTTAAAATAAATATACATAATTAGATGGAACATGATATATTTAAGATACAAGAAAATGAGATTTAAGAGATTAAATGACAGTAATTCAATGATGGACAACTTGGGCAAAAATGCAATCAAAGATTTACTTAAAATACTTTACTTTACTATGCTATACTATGCTATACTATACTATACTATACAATACTATACTATACTATACTATACTATACTATACTATACTATACTATAGTACTATACTGTACTGTATACAGTATGCTTGTACATATGTGTCATTTGCAACAATTTCTGCAACTGGAAAGTGCCTAAATTTGACTTTGGAACAAATCACCATGTAAATAAATTGATTTAAAATGTGTTTAAGCAGAACTACAATGCAGAAAGAAGTAATTAGACTGATAGAAAATGTGGGGTATTTGGAGCATACAAATCCTTTATTTTTTTAATTGAAGATTCTTAAGTTTAAGTTAAAAATTTGAAACAGCACAATTTATGTTTAAAGCTAGGAATAAATTTCTTCCGAAATGCATACAAACATTTTTTTAAAGAAAGCCAAGGGGGATATAATTAGAGAGACAAACAACATTTTAGGAGGTTGAAATTAAGGAAAGCTTTAAAAGTTTGTTTATGTCTGTATGTGGTGTAAAATTAGTGAAGTCTCAAACAATGTCAGGATAATAATCTATTTAAAAAGTTGTATAAATGTATTTTATTAAAGGAATATAATGATGAAGGTGATTGAAAAAGGATAAAATGAGAAAGATAGAAAGATGACATTTAAATTATTGGCTATTTGCAGTACTATGTATTTTTTGGGTCTATGTTATAAAATGTAATGAAATCAAACATATAATATGTCAAAGATGCCAAAGGGATGTCTCATGTAAAAAGAAGAGATAAGTAAAAATAAGAAATAAGTTTAAGTAATAGACAAATTATGTATGTGGTAATCGGGTGAGAAAATAATAAGCTTGTGCTTCATCCCGCTCATTTTGACTGTGTTGAAATGTTTTTGTTGTTGTTGAAGATATTTTATGTATGATATTTAGGTTCGAAAATAAATAAATCAAATCTAAATTTAATTAACATTATCATAAAGTGTATTGTTAAAAATTGCACTTATCTGTGTTGAAAAACACATTATACATTAAAGTATGCTCTACTCTTAAGTGGCCTTTAATAGTCATTTTAATGCCTTATCTGTATTAAGTGCACTTTTTAAAAATTATGTCTTGCAGATTTGAAGTAGCAACATGTACACTTTCAATACAGTTAAATACACTTTCTTTTTCACAAAATTAAGAACCCTGAAAAACACAAAATAAGTTTTTCAACAAGATGGAAGTATATTGAAAATTACTGCACAGTTGGAAATTTAAAGCGAAAATAATCTAGATGAACAAAATCTCAAGTTTTTGGCCACAAATATGCATGTGATCCTAATGCCAGGTTAAAACACAAGCGTAATATTATTTTCATGACAGATACAAAAATAAAAATAAAGCACTAGGTATACAGATTGTCTGTTGCAGTCTTATTATCTATCTGAAGTAGTTTTAAATAGAAGGTCCCCAAACCGGACGCCCAACCCAGAATTTGATGGTTTTTGCTTTCAGTTGATTGACACTATGGGCTGTTGCATATTTTTTGAATAAGCAGAAATGTTAGCATGCATGCTATTTTTGCATACGTTTGTGAACTGTGTTCGTGGAATTTCCAGACAAACATATTTAAATTTTGCTATATTATTATTATTTTTTTTGTTATGACTTATTAGCCTCGCTGTATATTTATTTACCCAATTTCTGATTAACGTAAAGTTTTTTTTGTGTTTTTTTTTTTCAGCACATTTCTAAACATAATAGTTTTAATACTTAATTTCTCATAAGTGATTTATTTTATTTTTGACATGATGACAGAACATAATATTTTACTAGTTAATTTTCAAGATGCTCGTATTCAGCTTAAAGGGACATTTAAAGGCTTAACTAGGTCAATTAGGCAAGATAGGGTATATAGGCAAATCATTGTATAAGAGTGCTTTGTTCTGTAGACTATGGAAAAATATATTGCTTAAGAGGGCTAATAATATTGACCTTAGAATGTTTGTTTTTTTAACTGCTTTTAGTTTAACCGAAATAAAACAAACAAGACTTTCTCCAGAAGAATAAATATTTTCAGACATACTCTGAAAATGTCTTTGCTGTTAAACATTATTTGCGAAATATTTTAAAAAATAAATTAATTAATTTTGACTTCAACTGTATAAGGCACACACAAAAAAGATTTGAAATAAATGAACCACCAAATTAATTCTTTCCTCTTTTTTAAATTCAGGTTACAATATGATCCACTTCACGCCTTTGCAGAAACTTGGCATGTCAAAGTCATGCTACTCCATAGCTGATCAACTGGAGCTGAACCCTGATTTCTCTCCACCTGGCAAAAACTACACCTGGATGGATGTGGGCAACCTGACAGAGAAACTTAAGAAAGAGTGGAACATGATTTGCATCACAGATGTGGTATACAACCACACAGGTACGTTTCTGCCATCTTTAGCACACACATACACACACACGCACAACAAAAAATGCTTTTCATACTTGCACTACCTGACGATAGTCTTGTCGTCAATCCCAGTTGTAAGAGCAATAATAACTTGATTTCTAGTAGATCATTTGGAAAAGTGGCAGAAGGTAGATTTTTCTTGATGAATCATCTGTTGAACTGCATCCCAATGATCACAAATACTGCAGAAGACCTATTGGAACCAGCATGGACCCAAGATTCTCACAGAAATCAGTCAAGTTTGGTGAAGGAAAATCATGATTTGGGGTTACATTCAGTATGGGGGCGTGCGAGAGATCTGCAGAGTTGATGGCAACATTAACAACCTAAGGTATCAAGACATTTCAGCTGCCGATTACATTACAAACCACAGCAGAGGGCAAATTCTTCAGCAGGATAGCGCTCCTTCTCATACTTCAGCCTCCACATCAAAGTTCCTGAAAGCAAAGAAGGTCAAGGTGCTCCAGGATTGGCCTGCCCAGTCACCAGAGTGAACATTATTGAGCATGTCTGGTATAATATGAAGGAGGAGGCATTGAAGATGAATCTAAAGAATATTGATGAACTCTGGGAGTCCTGCAAAAACGCTTTCTTTGCCATTCCATATGACTTTATTAATAACTCTCCAAGCTCATGACAGTTATACACAATATTAATTATTTTTTCCACTACACCATGACTTTACATTCTATACAGTACATTATTTTTGTTAAATGACAAGATTTTTGTCTAAGCAAAGTCAGACCTTACTCTCCTAATTAAATAATTAAATATCAAGGAATGATCATATTTTAATTTGATAAAATAAGCATAATCTAAAAGCCTTTGTCTTTCATACTGTATAAGCCACGATAGCAAATTATCCACTAGAAGTTATTATTTGTTATTCCTGAAATTTGGATAGAAGACAAGACTTTTGTCAAATAGTGTAGAGGTTTTGTCTTGTTTCTAGTCCAAATTTCTAAAAAAAAAATTAAATCAAGAAGCATTTTCTAGACCAGCAAAACATATTGTCATGTTTTAAGAAAAAATATGCCAAAATGCAGTTTTTCCTTAAGACAAGAAAAATAATCTGCCAATGGGGTATATAAAAGATTATATTGTTCACCCTATTGGCAGAATATTTAGCTTGTTTTACAGGTAAACTCCCTTAGTTTTGGCATTTTATTTTTTTCTAAACAATACCATATGTTTTGTTTATCTAGAAAACGCTTCTTGGTTTTTAGGTATTTGGACTAGAAACAAGACAAAAGATCTAAGTAACAAAAGCATTTTTGCAGTGCAGTAAACATGCAGAGAATCTTGCAGCACTACAGCTATTTTAACCTCATTGGAATTTGCAGTGTCACTTCTGAAGAATGACGCAGCAGAATTAGGAAGAAGTGTTTAGGCTATTTATAGACTATCAATTGCTGCAATCAGAGACTAGTTGAAAGCTTGTCAGATTGTTAACCTTTCAGTCGCACTGCAGGAAGATTAATGCTGGCTGCCTTGGCCTTTGTGACATTCTAATGTTTCGTGTTGCCCACTGTTGCGTGTGTGTCATGGGAGCACTTTTACATATCTGCCTTGTGATTAGCGCGTAGGTTAATTGGATGTCCAACTGAGTGCTGTTTCTTGCCAACCAGCTTTGTTTTGCTTGATCTGTAAAAGAAGTAGCTGAACAGAGTGCCAAACGTTTTACATTTAACACTTTTTCCTGGCAATTCTTTGCTTTTGTTATTGTACCATTTTTGAGGACCTATGACTAGTCTTTAATTATCTAGGCGCAAAGTCTAAAGCACAAGACACAAAAGCATTAAGGGCATGTCCGAATCGTCTTTTTCTATTTTAAGGACAGTAAAATACGCTCTGCGCCGCTGCGCATGGTCTAACAGTGTTGTGCTTATTCTCCTAATGAGTTATGGGTGTGTTTTCAGAATAAACCAATCAGAGTCTCATCTCCCATTCCCTTTAACAGTCAGTTGCATTGCTTCATGGTGCATTTGCTATTTACATGGCGAATTATGTAAGTGGAAAAACTGAGTGGGAAAAACTTTACTTCACAAGCAAAAAAAACAGTTAAACAGACCATCTGTGGCGAGATAAAGAATGAGCCTCCTCCAATCGGCCTGTACTTTCACTTTTTCTTTCTCTATTTCATCGATAAGACATCCATCAGCCTACATAATTAATAAATTTCTTTTGTTAAATGCAAAATTTGGTGCAAAACTATTTCTAAATTCAGTTCTAATTTCCAGCAAACAAATAAATGAACAATAATAATGAAGTGTGATCAAAAAACATATATCCAAAGACACATCCTATTCCCCATATGGCATTACCCGATAGTTGGACAAATCTAAGCTTGTTTTTATTAAAACAAATATAAATATGCATGTAATAATTAATACTGCTTATAATAATGACATTATACAAAAACAAATTGTCATGAATAAACTAAAAAAGCTCCTGAGCTGAAGAAGGCATGGAGGTGGTGGTTTTTATATTTATGTAGAAAATAATAATTTTTGTAATAATTTAATCCTTTAATCCTTTTTCACTTGTAAAGATATTTGCTTATTGCTGTACACCCTGTGTGTATTAAACAATGAGTAGGCAAGGTGCAAAACTAACGTGCTCTGCGTTGGACTTTAGACGTGCTTTCAGCTGGTCTATTGAACAGTCTATTTTAGTTCCTCAAAATAGCAACGCGCCAACAATGCACCTTAACACACCTCTTTTCTAGACCAGCACATCCATGAGTGTACAAAGTGGCAGAAAAGGATTTGCTATTTAAACAATGTGGCGGAAAACAAGAAAATCAAGGTTGCGCTGTTCTGAAAATAGCAAAAGTCGGGGCAAACACATCTTATGCCTTATTGTGCGGGGTGTATGTTAGGGCCCAAAGATTCAAAGACCCTAGATCATAATTTTTCACACTTTTACTCAACCTCCACTTGTTTCGAACAAATACTGTATAACACTTTTTTTTTTTTTTTTTGCTGAAAAATGGTTTTCTGGCACTCAATATCCAGCTCAACTTGAACAGATAAAATTCAAATAACACTCTGTCGTCTGCATGGTATATATGCATTTAAACTGCAATTTAAAAAAATCCTTGCTGCCTCAATTTTTTTAGTTAAATCAAATGAAATGTTCAGTCTATTTATACTTCTGCTTCAATCCCATGCATATGCTCTGGTGCAGCCTACACGTGGACACATATCCCTTGCCTTGGTCATCAACAACGCAGACGACCACCTCAAAAATGCAGCTAAACGTTGCAATGATGTGTAGCGCAAGCTCTGTGATTAGTCGGCTTGGTATCGCTGACGAGTGTGGGTGTAGGTGAGAGCCTCGTGAGCCTGTAGGAGCGAGTGTTTACAACTGTCGAGTCCCGTGAAGGAGCTCCAGATGGAGACTGTTGTTTTGTGTTTACCTTATGATTAAAGTTGCACGTCCGCCGATTCCTGCCTCTAAATGAGCGAGTTTCAGCCACTTGTACATTAAGGCAGCGCTCAGAAAAAAAACAAAACACCAGCGAAAAAACTCGATACAGAGGAACATAGACACTCACTGCCAGCTAGGGTTTCTGAAGTGTTATTGCAGAGGAACACAAACAGCATGCAGAAGTATAAATGCATGGCAATGTGCGTTGCATGCGCCGTGGGTCACGGCGATCACTTGACGCAGAAGTATAAACCAGGCTTTCTGTTCCGAAAAGGAACAGAAGCCGTTGGTGGCATGAAACCACCCCATAGCATTCGTTTAAAGATGAAATGCAGCTATACGTACCTCTGGCTACATAATTCATGCTCTCCAGAAATATTTTTTTGTCATTATATTCTTACAGTGTGGCTTGAAATGCTTATGGTCACAGGCCTTAAAAACACATGCAAGTGATAAACATACTGGTAAATTTATGGTTAAAATTTGGAATGGCTCCACACATGTATGCGTAGCTCCTGGTTAACTATAATACTGACTCAACATTGTGCAAACATTGCTTTATCAAAGCTGAAACTATATATTGTGAAGGCCTAACCCAGTGTTAAGCCTTTTAAGCAATCTGCTGAGCTTCTAAATGTTGTAGTCAATCTAATGCTCTTAGATTAGTCGTTGAAAGTGCTTTGATTTTTTTTTTCACCCAAACATCAAAGCATCAAAGGCCTGGAAAGGTTAGCTTTTTATAGCTTTAGTGTAACTTGTGCTTGACTGACTTCATAGCCCAACAGGTTTTGTCTGTGTAATGTGCTGTTTCTTCAAACATAAACATGCTTTACTATCAATAAACAACACTAATAATCATCAGGGAACAATAGTACATCATCTCTTTGTAAAAGTGTTATTACTGTGCGTTCACACTGAAGGGAGTGAGAGCTTTAAAGATTGCTTTTAAAAAAATTTTTGCCGCTCTCACCGCCAAAGCTGAAGGCAGACAGCGTTGTTGCCAGGGCGGCCAGAGCGTCAAAATTTGCTATATTAATCTCGTATTTAAAGGGGCCGCTGCAGCATATCATATCAGTTACGTTCCCGCATCAAACTTGCTTTCTAGCGTAAAAATGTTACGCACTTTATATTAAACTCATTTAACAATAGAAGATCAAGTTGTGTGTGGTGTGGCTTTGCTCCACCTAATTATTCAATGTGTCCATATGTTTGAAATATCCTAAAGCAGCAATATTGTATTGTACTGTCGCATGAGATTCATGCTTTTTTAAAGAAAAAAATAACATCAATGCACATCAGTAACTCGCCAGTACCTGTTTTTAATGTATGTTCTTGTAAAAAAAAAAAAAAATTGCTAATAATTGAAAGTCCGGTGACCGCAATAATAAAACCCTTGGGAACAACTGTGGTTGGAACCAAAGTTCACAGGTCTGTGTTCTCTGGACTCCTCTCAAGTGGTGGACTTCTATATTCAGATTGTTTGCCGCTGAACTGCGTCATAGCTCATTACCATAAAGTTGACTTGATTTTAACTCTCCTCGAAGCCCACACCAGCGAAGATGCACTGCGCTAATCCTCGCCGCTTATCGGCGGCGGCTCTCATTGAAAATGAATGATTTCTGGCTACTTTGATGCTCTCGCTGCTTTCGGTGTGAGCGTACAGTTAGTAGGATAGCAGTTTTGTCAGCTTAGTCTCTTATTTATGAGGGGTCACCACAGCGAGATGAACCGCCAACTATTCCACCATATGTTTTATGCAGCGGATGCTCTTCCAGTCGCAACCCAGTACTGGGAAACACCCATACACTCTCTCATTCACACACACACTCATACACTACGGCCAATTTTGTTTACCCAACTCACCTATAGGCATGTCTTTGGACTGTGGGGGAAACCGGAGCACCCGGTGGAAACCCACGCCAACATGGGAAGAATATGCAAACTCCACACAGAAATGCCTACTGGCCCAGTTGGCTCTCGAACCAACAACCTTCTTGCTGTGAGGAGACAGTGCTAACCACTGAGCCACTGTGCCGCCGTATAGCAGTTTATAATATTCAGATTAGTTTAAGTACTTTAATTGAATTAATTTATTTTCACTTGAAGTAATTGATGTAAAACAAATCATAGATGCAGCTAAAAAGGTTTAAAAGTGACCACTGTGAGAGATAAAAATGGGTAAATTGGTTTCCAGGGTTAAAATATTGCCCGTTAATAGAAAAAGTAATTGCAAGAACTGTTTGAACATACTGTACAACAACCTTTACACAGCTGTCTTCATCATTTGCGGTGGTGATATCATGACTGTACAGTAGAATCACAGCAGCTCTTTAAACACCAGACTGAAGTTCAGCACACTTAATGAATGAGCACACCCGAATTGAGTGTACTTCCCATTTATTATCTGCAAACGTAGCAGTTCTTATCAGAACTCTGCCTACAATTAATCTCCAGTTACTTTCCAACCAATTAACTTTGTTTACATGTCAACTTTTCATTTTCCGCCACACTGTGGATTCAGCACATGTAATATAATATCATACTAACAATTACAGCAGGTTGTGCATGCATATGTTTGGTTTTTAAAAGGAAATCGCACCTGCTGATTGAGAACAACAAGCACAGGGTCCCACTGATAAATGAAAACCATCTGTACTGTAGATTTCCTTTCTGTATGCTAAAAATACTTTTAAAAATGATTTACCTGTAAGACTATGATTGTTTCTAGCTGCCAACAGTAAGTGGATCAGGCTTCATCCAGAGTGTGGATATAACCTGGTGAACTCTCCTCATCTGAAACCGGCATGGCTGTTGGACAGAGCCTTGTGGCACTTCAGCTGCGCCATAGCAGATGGAAAATACAGCGACGGCGGACTTCCACCTCTTATTGAGAATGAGAAACACATTACTGTGAGTCTGGAGGGAGATTTAAGTGTTCAAAATATATACTGGTAGTCACAATTATGGATAATTAAAGTGAGGATTCTGCCAAATTAGGGCTGTCCAATATTGAAAAAATCCAAAATTATGATATTTACGATTTTTAATATATTGCGATATGAATACAATTTCACCAGATAACGGAATGGATCATTTTAGATTGATTGGGGTGATTCTGTAGGGGTTAAATTATGCATAAAATATATATTAAAAACAATCTATGAGTATAGATAGTTACAATAGTATCTATTGTATGAGCATAGATACAAATACAATAGAAATAAAATATACAAATGAAGTAAAACGTGTTTTTATTGAACAATCACTTGTAAAATAATAGTGCTTAGTCTTCATTGAATGAATATTTCTTTTTTTTTTTCAGTTTTTTATTTCCAAAAATAAAAATCTACAATTTTACCAATCAGATAGAAAAATACTTTTAACAGATATTACCCCATATATATCACCGATCCCCCCACCCCATTATACGCACATCATGAAACACAGAATAACTGTAGTTTATACCAACTATTAGATAAATTACATTTTTGAATGAATATTTCAATAAAAATAATCATTATTAAAGTTACAAATGGTTCAAGTTCTTATGACTGAATGCTTTTAAAATCCTCATGCCTCAAAAACACATGCAAAATAATAACTATATTTCTGAATCAACATTGCATATGCTGGGATGTAACTATTGCGAATGAGCATAATGCGATATCTGCAACGATATATTGTGCAGCCCTTTCTCAGATGGTAACATTTATGGTTAATTTACCTTTAAGGCATCCAGGGTGACTTTTTTTCCTTCAGTATTTAAAAGAAGAAAAAAAATGCATAAGGAAAATAAAAACATATAGAGGAAACACAAAATTAATACTCTTGACTCCTGAAGATACATTGAAGCCTTCTGAAGTGAAATGAATGGTCAGTGTAAGAAACGGGATATTTTATTGTTAAAGTATATGTTTAAAAATATTTTAAAGTAGAATAAATGTGTAATTTTAAATAAAGAAACACACATGGAATTTAAGGTTAGTTTAAATATACAAAAAAAAAATTTATATATATATATATATATATATATATATATATATATATATATATATATATTTTTTTTTTTTTTTTTTTTTTTTAAAAAATAAATTTTTGTGTGTGTGTGTGTGTGTATATATATATATATATATTTTTTATATATATATATATATATATATATATATATATATATGTGTGTGTGTGTATATGTGTATATATATATATATATATATATATATATATATATATATATATATATATATATATATATATATATATATATATATATATATATATATATACACACACACACACACACATACAGTTGAAGTCAGAATTATTAGCCCCCCTGACTTATTAGCGCCCCTGTTTATTTTTTTTCAAAATTTCTGTTTAATGGAGGGAATATTGTTTCTGCACATTTCTAAGCATAATAGTTTTAGAAACCTATTTCTAATAACTGATTTATTTTATCTTTGTCATGATGACAGTAAATAATATTTTACTTGATATTTTTCAAGACACTTCTATACAGCTTAAAGTGACATTTAAAGGCTTAACTA